AAAGGGACTAGGGGCATGCTTGCTCCAGGACAACCAACCGATCGCATATTCATCAAGATCTTTGACAGAGACAGAAGTAAAACTATGCAAACATTGAGCGTGAACTCCTAGCGATAGTGTTTGCTGCAGAACAATTCCACCAATTCATTTTTGGAAGAGAAGTACTGGTGATCAGTGATCACAAACCATTAGAGACGATCTTGAGAAAACCATTGCACAAAGTTTCGCTAAGAATTCAACTGATGATGTTACGACTACTCCGATCAAACTGGATGTTCAGTACAAACCTGGATCTCAGCTATACATTGCTGACACATTGAGCAGAGCCTCACCACCATTAACACATCAAGAGAGACAGGAAATTCCCCAGGAGGAAATACTGAGAGTACACTGTACGACAGCCACAATGCCAGCCACAACAGAGAAACTAAAAGAAATCCAAAAAGAAACCAAGTCTGACAAGATACTGAGAGATGTCTTACAATGGGTGAAAAATGACTCATGGCCTCAAAAGAGGAACATGTCAATGACAGAAAGACACTACTACAAACTCAGACATGACATGCATGAGGAAAATGGAATGTTATTCTTCAATAACAGAATGGTCATACCTGAAACCATGAGGAAAGAAATGTTAACCAAACTGCACACAAGTCACCTTGCCATCGATGAAAGTAAGGCCAGAGCCAGAGAGAGCATCTATGGCCAAGAATATGTACTGACATTGAAGAAAAGACGAAGAAATGTGAAATATGCGCTAGCAATCAACCACAAAATGCTAAGGAACCGATGATTCCTCACGATCCACTATCTATCCCTTAGGTCAAACTAGGGGCAGACATTTTTGAATTTGGGGGAAAATCATACCTTCTTGTGGTGGATTATTATTCAAAGTATCCTGAAGTAGCATACATGAACAACAAAACAGCACAGTCGGTGATCAGGGCCTTAAAACCAATTTTTGGAAGACATGGGATACCACAGGTACTCTTCGCTGACAACATGCCTTTCTCCAGCTACAAGATGAAAGAATTTGCAACAAGCTGGAACTTCGAAATCAAAACATCAAGTCCGAGGTATCCGCAGTCAAATGGCCAAAGTGAACGTTTCGTCAACATTGTCAAAACAATGTTCAGGAAATGTACTGAGGAAGGATCTGATCCTAATCTAGCTCTGCTAGGATACAGAAACACTCCTATCACAGGTTTGCCGTACTCTCCAGCCCAGCTGCTCATGGGCAGAAAATTGAATGATCTAGTACCAACAGATCCCAAGATGTTAAAACCACAACTACCTGTTGATGCTCCATACCTGCTTCAGCAAAGAAAAATAGAGCAGAAAAAACACTACGATCGACACACAAAGAGTCGTCCAGACCACCACGTGGGAGACAGTGTGCGAGTGCACACAGGAAGATCCAATAATTGGGAAAAGGGAGTCGTCACCAGTATGAGCCAAGCACCTCGATCTTACTACGTCACAACAGAAGATGGTACAACATGGCGACGAAACTCCAGAGTCATCAATAAAAGCAAACACACTCCTGTTATCAACGAACCATCTAGCTTTGATGAAGACGAGCACCAGTCAGAGCAACAACCTCAAGGGAGACAAACCAACAACCAATCTACAACGTCCCAGGTCGAGTTCCCAAACTCACAACCAAGGGTCGAGCTCCCATGCGCATCCTACAACAATACAACACACTACAATAGACCTGCATACACTATTAGGTGTGGTCGTGAGGTGAAAATGCCAAAACGTTACCCTGAGTAGGCATGGCCTTTTATAACATTTTGCATACAATATGATGAATTTGTGTGTCCTGTACGATCCCAACAATGCATAAACACTAAGTGGAACATTTGATGGACACTAACGCTAATAGAGCGATTGTATTTGAAGGATTAGTTAGCAAACACATACTAATATTTCATACTCATCTGCTGAGAGCCAAGAACTTTGAAAGAACTTTAACTCACAGTACCGAGAAACATTTTAAAGAAAAATTGTCATTGACAGATATTCCTTTTGTTCAAAATACTAATTAGATTCTACTATCGGTGTTATCAGTTCAGAGTTGAACCATATGCACTGTACATTTAGTTTTTAAAAAGAAAAGAAATTGTGTATGTTTTTCTTAGAACACAAGCTTGTAATTTTAAAATTTGATACAGTTCAAAATATAAAATTATGAACAGAGAAAGAGGGGATGTCATATTCGATAATAATAATAATCGATACCGATCCGGATATGACGTTGTAATTAATCCTAAAGAAATAAGCAATTGCATTCTGGGTTACCAAGATGTCTGCCTCAATGTTCCTTACCTTTATCCCGATGTGTGTCTCACGTCTTGTTATGAATCAAACAATGATCTAAAAAACCCAACAAACACAACAATAAAGGTGTATTAACGGAGCAAAAGACACCTTAAAAGCTCACGATTTTTAACTCTAGGATGTTTCCCAGTTTACCAAGATCTCTACCTTTCCGTGACGTTTTATGGTATAAGTAGAAGATGAAGTCACGGTTAAGTAAAATAAGGATTGTCTTGAGTGAGTTCAGAAGAGACTATGTGCAAAAAATTGACAGGGACACCAATTGACAGAACTAGGGGTTACCGAGGGGGAGTGTTGTGTTTGTAAAATGTGGGGGAGGGGTGTATTTGTAAGGAAGGATCTTAACTAAAACCCAAACCCTAACCCTAACCATAACCGCTAATCCTTAACCTCTAATTCCTAACCCCGAACCTCATCCATAACCCCAAACCCTACCCCTACCCCTACCCCTAATCTTAACCCGAACCCAGCCCTAATTTTAACCCTAACGTCTAACCTCTAACTCTAACCCTAACACTTTAGCCTTAACTCCTATACCCTAAACCCTAACCCTAACCCTAAGCCTAAAGGTTTCAATTAACTGTTTATTGTCATCGTATTCCCGACTGAAATTGAATTCTGTGTACCTAACAGCATCACACTTAGTTGCCAATTGGTGAAAATTCAACTTTTACAGTTTGTGTAGCTTCTACCGACTTTGCCAGTCTGAATAAATGAATAATGTTGAGATTATTCGTTGAACATAAAGACATCGACGCCAAATAAAGATATGAAAAATAAAGGCATTTTCTTTAATACGGAATCTTAAACCAAACCAAAAAAACATCCCACCACCACCACCATCAAAACCCCGAAGATAACGAAACAGAAAACCAACAACAAATACAACACACTATTTACCCAAATTGGCACACACTGATGTTTTCATTCATTCAAACGACAACGTAAGAGGTCGCTGGAGTTGCACAAACGTAGGATGAAGATAAAAAAAGAAAGCTGTTGTATTTGTTACAGGCTATAACAAAAGGACACAACGATCGCTCCTGTCTATCAATGGGTAGGGATCTACTTGATATTCAAGCTAACCATAATTAATTCATAATACTTTAATGTAACACGATCTCACAGTGGGGAGAGAGGGAGGTTGTGAGTTACAGAAGAAGGCGTAGAAGTATGTGTGTGTGTGTGTGTGTGTGTGTGTGTGTGCGCGCGTGTGTGTGTGTGTGTGTGTGCGTGTGTGTGTGTGTACATGTGTGTATGTGTGCATGGGTGTGTGTGTGTGTGTGTGTGTATATACAAGACAGGAGGGGGGGGGGGGGGGTTGTTAATGAAAAAGGGGGGAGTGGAGTGTTTGAGGGTGAGTGTGTGCGTGTATACAGGAGGGGGCGAGGTTGATGTTGTTTGTAAAAGATGTGGGTAGTGGGGCGGGAGAGGGAAGAAAGATTAAATATATGTGTATGTCTATGTGTGTGTATGTGTGTATGAGTGTATATGTGTATGAGTGTATGTGTGTATGTGTGTATGAGTGTATATGCGTATATGTGCGGTGTACGTACGTTTATGATAGATAGATAGACGTTAAAGAGTGTGTGTGTGTGTGTGTGTGTGTGTGTGTGTGTGTGTGTGTGTGTGTGTGTGTGTGTGTGTGTGTGTGCCTGTGTGTGTGTGTGTGTGTGTGAGAGAGAGAGCGACAGAGAGAGAGAAAAAAAGAGAGAGAGATTGATAGACAGTAAGAGAGACGGGGTATAAAGAGAACGAAAGAGAGAGAAAGAGATAGATAGATAGATGGATAGATAGATAGATAGATAGATAGATAGATAGATAGATAGATAGATAGATAGATAGATAGATACATAGGTAATAGATAGAGAGAGAGAGAGAGATAAGAGAGAAAGAAAGAAAGAAAGAAAGAGAGAGAGAGAGAGAGAGAGAGAGAGAGAGAGAGAGAGAGAGAGAGAGAGAGAGATCAGTGTTATTACTTTACAATGTCCTAGCAGTGGGGAAACAATTTTTTGAATTTAATTAGAAAGGCTGATAAGAAAAAAACCTGGGGTTACATGACACACGTAGCAAAATATTAAATATCTTAACTAAATATGGGAGGGTGCGGTGGCGGAGCGGTTAGTGCGCTCGTCTCCAATGCGGAAAGTCCTGGTTGGGGACTCGGTTCGGACACTGATTTTTTTCGCCCCCTCCTGCCTACCCAGCATAATGGGTACCTGACTTCGAACTGGGGAAGTAAAGGCGGCGTGGAAAGGAACTGGCCACCCTACCACAATATGTCGAAGGCCAAGGAAGTTGTTTCAGTAACAAGACAATACCAAGTGTCCGGATCGGATGCGGTAACAGCTTTTACTAAATATGGACTAAGACATTTCGGGATTATATGCACACACACCAATGCGTAAAACACACACACACACACACACACACACACACACACACACACACACACACACATACCCCCCCCACACACACAGAGGATTTCTGCTCTGAAATTTTCTTCTTCCTCCTCCTTTCCTGCTCTCTAACCAGATTCTGTGTTCTGCTTTTGTCTCCACTTTCTGTTCCCACCCGCACCTCATTTTGTCCCGTCTTCTGGGCTCCTGACTCTTTCTGCAGCCTTTCTACTGCTACCCCCTGCTTGGCTCCTTTTCACTGCTGTCTTTTAGTCAAAAACCCTTTTCTTATGCGGTAAGATCTAACACCAAGCTTAATCGGACAAGGGCAAAAAATCTCGAAGGACCCGTGTGCAAATTTCGCACGTCTATGATCCCTTGGTGGTCCAAAATCGATCAGAGTAGGCTTCAGCTGCCAACGGGCGAAGTTCAAAATGAATTCCCACCAATCTTTTTTTTTTTCTTTTTTTTTTTTGATTAGTGTTTTACAGCGAAGGCAACTGCGTAAGGTCATAAGAGCTCGCGGGACTCATTCATTTTTTAAAAAGTTGGTAGGACATTTTGAATGTCGCCCAGGTGACGGCCGACGCCTAGTCTTATCGATTTTATACAACCGAGGGATCTTTAAAGTACGCAACTTGCACACGGGCCCTCCGAGATTCCCACCAAAATAAACATGTTTATGCAGTTGCGGGCGCGTAAAACACTTACCAAAACAATTTTTAAGAGAAGGAAGATAGCATTCAATAATCCCAAGAACAGGATGGAGCCAGATTTTCATAACGTGAAGCGTGAAAATGTATAAGATTGTAGTTTTCGATGATAGTGATGACAATATTATACAGCCTTTTGCTGGGAGATATTTCTACCCGAAATTAGCCTCTTTGTGCTTAATAGTGTACATGTATTCTTATCAAGACAGACTACGTGGCAGTGCAAACGAGTCAATGCTTCCAAGGTGTTAATGATCTTCATCACATAAATAATGTCCATGGATGTGTCTCGGTTTCAAAGAAAATAATAATAATGGTTTTTCAACTTGAGTATCAACACCATCAATGGTCGTGATGATGTAATTTGGTAGATGTTTGATCTTTGTGTGTACCGCGTTATAGAATAGAAGAGGAACTGATCCTTTATTTTTAAATATTTGAAATACACTGTATGCGTGAGTATATATGTGTGTGTGTGTGTGTGTGTGTGTATGTGTGTGTATGTGTGTGTGTGTGTGTGTTCGCCTGTTTGTTTGTGCGTGTATTTCTCCTTCGTTTATTCTCTCTCTCTCTCTCTCTCTCTCTCTCTCTCTCTCTCTCTCTCTCTCTCTGCTGTCTTACGCAAAAACACAAAATACTTCCACACATAAGCCCACACATACACGCAATCATGAACAAAAGCACGCATGAGCAAAAGCACTCAGGCACGAGCGTGCATACACACATACACACGTTCACACACACAAACACACACACAGGCAAAACCAAAGACACACTCTCTCTCTTTCTACATCTCTCTCTCTCTTTCTCTCTCTCTTCTCTTCTCTCTCTCTCTCTCTCTATCCTGATCTCCCTCTCCATCTCTCTCCCTTTCTATCACCCTAACCCCCCTCTTCTCTCTCTCATTCCCCGCTCTCTCACTCCGCCCCCCTCTCTTTCTCTCTCATTCCCCGCTCTCTCACTTCGCCGTCTCTCTCTGTCTCTCTGTCTCTCTCTCTCTCTCTCTCTCTCTCTCTCTCTCTCTCTCCCCCTCTCCATCTCTCTTGGTCTCAAAACCGGACCCGTACGCCCACGGTTAACGGTGCGGAAAAGTGTGCTGTGAGCGTTCAAAGAGACAGAGATATGATGTTAGCCTGTTTGGCCATTGGATCTGCGTCTCTAGTGAATATTTGATGAGAATCCAGTCTCAGGGTCCTCCAAGTACAAGCCAGCCTATTTGTTGGTGAAATTCGCACGTATAGTCCTTTTTCTATAATATTTCTGTTTGTGTGCGTGCGCGCGCGCGTGTGTGTGTATGTGTGTGTGTGTGTGTGTGTGTGTG